CGGGAGAATGCGGAGTAAACGGCTGCCAAACAGTTAGTGCAGTTCCACTCATATCCTCTTGGGGGTAGCAATGTGCATCTCAAAAGCGCTGCCAGCCACCAGTCAGAGTGAGTTAGTTATTTAATGACAGTGTGTGCATAAAACAGTGAGTGAGTGAGTGTGTGTTTGTGTGAGAGAAAAGTGAGAGCATGTAAAAGTGTGACTGCCCCCTTTTGGAGGCATGCATGAATTCCTCTGACTGGCTCGAGGAAAGGTGGCCGTTTCCGTGCCAATGCCAGCGCAAAGGACACAAGCAAGCCACAGCCTCTCTATGTGTCTTGCCAGCCTATCGACGCGTTTCGGGACGGTGGCGGTGCCCAACATCCTCCTCTTCCAAGGGGTCAAACCCATGGCTCGCTTCAACCACTCCGAGAGAACCCTGGACACACTGGCCTCCTTCATTACCAACCAGACGGGTGAATACCAAATCAAACGGGCACATGTCCGAAAGCCGCGTGCCCAAAAATAACTCCGCCGACACGCGCTTCTTCCCAAGGGTTGGAGGCGGGGCCGGAAAGGAACGTGACGGCGGCCGACCACCTGGGCCCGCTGGCCGGCGTGCCCGTCGCAGGTGTCGATTGGCTGCTGGTCTTCTCCGTGCTCTTCATCGCCAGCTTCACCGCCTACGGGATCCTACGCGCCGACAGCATCCGCTGGCTCATCCCGGGACATGAGCACGAACATCAGGACTGACTCAAACGCTGGAGTGAACGGACGCTCCCCTTTTCACGATTGGTTTCATGGAGAACATTTCTAGTATAGGTGCTGCGGTGAGGCCGCTGAGCAAGTGTGTGAGACTTGGTCTGACTGCGGCGGGGCCACTCAAAAAAATTGCTTCACGCGGGTTCACTGTTAACTGTACATGTGTGCAAACCAATTTTTACCCATTTAACAGATTCTGCATTTGATGAGGAAAAAAACAGCATGTGTGGTCTCACTGCTCTTATAGAGCAGTGCCCTCCCCCCCCCACCCCTCTTCCCTCAAGGACAAGTCTCACGGCCCATTTGGCATCGGGCCGCACAGAATGATTGACAGGAGCTAAAATATAAAGAACCATATGACCATGACCCGATCCCTGTTGGCCAAAAGCTTGGGGACTCCTGCTCCAGATGACCCACATGGCACACGATACACAATGTCTGTTGTAGTACCAAGACTGACCTAAGGTATGGCGCCACCTGCCATCCTCAGAACACCCCACAGGATACTCTTTCACAGACTTCCAATAATCAATCACAACGGGTGGAATGCTAAAATCGTTTGTTGGTGTGTGCGTATCTCACTTGATATTGAATGATCTGTAGATTTGAAGTCTCCCAGAGGAATAAGTTCTGGCAAAGTTCAGATACTTTTGGAAGGTTATTCCATGTGACCCTTGGCAGCGTCATTTGAAGGACTTTTTCAGAGCGCAAGCAATAAAGCTGTTAGTTTTTACATAACTGCACAAAGGTAAATTCGGAGGAGCCCAACAATGCGTTTATAAACAAAAAAGAAACCAGTGTGAGAGCCTGCAGACATTCACAGATGCATACTTAGTAACAGCACAAAGCTCGCAATGGTGAGCAAGTAAGAAAACGCAGAGCACAATCTTCAGTCGTAAAAGGATAGTGTTGAACAATCGTTGCAGATTTTTTTTCTCCCGTCCGTGGTCTGATGGCACGTTCATCAGGATGTCACACTGTAGCGAGATGTAGTAACCCGGCGCATAAAGTGGTCATTTTAAGCAGGCAGTGACGTGAACAGCTCCGGTACAGAGTGAGGACTTCAGTCGAGTGTGTGGTGGGGTTGCGAGGGGACAGAAGGAGTTTACGAGTGGCTGTGGAGGAGGACAACCTGCGGAGCGCCACAGTATGTCCTGGTTAATATTTAGCCCAGCAGTCAGCAGCCTTTGGCCCCGCATTCCGCTCGCGTTCACCGGCCTCAGCCTGGCTCATATCACCAGGAGCTCTACTAAAATGGTGAGTGAATTACAAGGTCACGTCGCGTGTGTCTTTTGAATTATTAAGTGTGCATCCGCGTGGCCCCGCTGTGACGTAATACTTCCGCCTGACCCCGTCGGTAAAAGGCGTACAAACAAGGGAAACGCGTGAAGTCGAAAAGTACTGCGATTAAACACAATTTGAGACTGTTCTCGGGCATTGTATGAGTCGTCGTATAGATCGGCTAAAGTGTGAGGTCAGGTGACTGAAATAATTCAACGTTTATTTGGTTTCGATGTAATCTGTGGGACCACTGGGAGTGTTTAAATATGTTTCTTCTTTCTCTGCCAAGTTCTTTTTGTCACATCTTTACGACGCCGAATTGAATATAGAGCCATAAGACATAACAGAGCTGCCCAAATTGTTAAATTCAGAGCATTAATAATAATAACAGTGTTGTGCCTTTAAAATAGTTGGCAATTCATTGTCATTAGTTCGTTGGTCCCAACTTGCCTGCTGTGTCGGTTTTCATTATTCATTCACTGCCATCTCGTGGCTCCAGCGGGCATCGCACACACAAAGCATCTTTCTTGCCAAGGGTGTATTTACTCAAATCTCCCGTTGTAATATGTGTTGTGTCAACATAACGTGCTAACTTGTTGTTTGTGCAGTCATCGGACTCCCATTGGCTTGCTCCGGCTGACCGGGACCAGCATGTAATGGAGTTGAGGGCCACAGGCTGGATGGAGGTGGAGGACCGTGACGCAATCTACAAGGAGCTTCACTTTAAAACCTTCAACCAGGTGTGTTCGCTAAATTGCTCCAAAAACGTATTACCAGTGTTAGTTTTACCACCTTAACCTGTGTGCTTGGTGTATTCGGATGCATGCATAGACTCTTAAAATTCAATATACTGTTCTTGCGGGGAGAATTGCTGCCAAATTTGATAGGGCAATCCTGGACACGCTTAGGATCGCGTTTCCATTCATATTTTGATTGATAAAAGTTGCATTACTTTTTTTTTCAGGAGTGGGGGGGGGGATAATCTGATCTATATTTTACATATACTTATGTGGCCTTATCATTGCTGTAAAAACGGTTACATTCCGGAAAAGAAGCAATGCAAAGAATCAAGTTTAATAGGTGACATTTAAAGACACACCCAACTTAAGCTAACGCTATTGTCAAAAGAACAAAACAAAACACCCAAGTTGTATAAAATTTGGTGGGGACGTTCAAGGCCGCTTAGCGGACTTCCTCTAATCCCGCCGCTTGTTTTAGCCCCTGGGAAGCGTGCTGTTTTCGCCCTTTTTACACTTCCCCGCTTTTGAAGTGGAGGTCGGCCTCCCCACACGGGCTGCCTCCTCCTCTCCCCTTACCGCCGCATGTCGCCCCGCGTTAGGCTGACACGAGCCAGGTGGCCCTTCCTTTCGCAAACAAATCAAATTGGTTAAAAAGTTTCATCTGGCCATTGTTTAAAAGGAAAAAAAAAATGCCCTCGCGGGCCTGGAGTTGTCCCAGTCTGGACAAATGTTGGCAAAGCTCATCATGAAATAAATTTTTATCAGGCATGCGGAGGCCTCGCTTTGCCCACAAAACAAAAGAAGTTTGGGGGGGAATGACAATTCCAATTTGGCTGCGACGCGCAGAAGTACAACATGGCAAGTTTAAGCCTCGGCCACAAGTTCCACGGGCAGAATTTTTGGCTTGGAAACAGGAGTTTAGAACAGTCAGACATAGCTTCCCCCGTCCCATTAAAACCACGGGAGGAGGATATTAGTGATGGGCAAAAAAAAAAAAAATGTGATGACAACCATAGATCTGTAAGAAGGAAAAGTAGCCAAAAAGTTTTGGACTGTATGAAAAAATAAAATCATGAAAAATGTCAAAACACCCTACAGCATTTGTGTCCATTTTGTCTTTAAAAAGGTGCTGTTTAAAAAAATATTACATGCACCAAAATTCTTCTTCCACGCCGGCCCCTTCCAAATAGTTGTCAGGGTTTTTTTTTTTTTGGTTTTTTTTTTTTGAATTTGCGTACTCATTACATTTAATTGTG